TTAAAATGGCCGCTATTCGGCTATCGTTAATCAGATCATGAAAAAAATGCATGTGCATATGTCCCATATAATGTGTGATGTATGAGTGAAGTTTGAACTTAATCGGTCCATGCATGTTCGAGATACAGGTGATCACGGACGCACGGACGGACGGACGCACGGACGGACGGACGCACACAGGGCAAAACATAAGACCCCGTTTTCGGACTGCGTCCGAACGGGGACTAATTACTAGTATTTAGGAAAGAGTGGTCAAACATATTTTTGAATTATCGTAGACTAACACGAAACCTGTAAAATGTGCACGAGCTGTGTTTAATTTTTACAAAGTTGGCAGTTGAAGATAAAATAATTGCTGCCGTTGTTATTAAATGTACTAGTACCTGTCCCTGTTAAAAACTTGAAATGGTGAATTTACGTATGACGTCACAATACGACCGCCTATACAGCACGATAATACAGTAAAATGTAGGGGCTGAAGATATGTCGTTACATATGCTCATATTATTATCTGATATCATATACTAGTATCTATTTTAATTTTGAAAATAATATATACTACCTAGATACAAGAGCGTGTTTATTAACAAGCATTTCTGGCGAAGCCATTCTGAGATTAAATCCTCAATATTGAAAATTGTTGAAATGACAAAGATCAGATAGGACGGGGTTACCTCATAATGTGAAAATATTTGGCACACTATTCAGTCAGCGATGTATCTAACAATATAACACAATTCAAGTCAATGCATGAATGATATTCTGACCTCTTTATGAGTACGTCTGGTAAATTACGTAACTGAAAAGACAACAATGCCACATGTCTGGCAAATATAGTCAAGCCCAGAAATATTTATGTAATCGAGATACTGAAGGCTTAGTCTTTTCCACGAAACGAAACGAAACGAAACCCAAACCCTAACCCTAACCCTAACTCGCATTTTTGTTTTCATTGGCCCAATAATATCTGAGAAATTTACACTGTGAAATACGGACGTGACGATGTTTGAGGTCGTTCAAAATCTAAGGTTAGGGTTAGGGTTAGGGTTTCGTTTCGTTTCGTTTCGTTTTATTTTGTTTCATTTCGTTTTGTGGAAAAGACTAAGCCGATACTGAATGTATACATGCCCCTGATGGGGGCAGTCATCTTGACTATAATGGGGGAAGCCATCTTGACTGTAACTTGAATGGGGGAAGCCATCTTGACTATAATGGGGGCAACATCTTGAATATCTAACAATACATATAAACACATCAATTCGCAATAGACACATGGTGAAATAGACATGAATGAAAGATACCAACCATCGGAATTAGAAATAAACATCAGTCACTTATACACAGTACTGAGTTAAGCTTTACGTGTTATGGACAGACACTATTAACGGAAATTGTTTCAGGGTAATCATTTTCTATATTGGAGGACTGTGATGCTGAGGTATACAAAAACAAAATAACACGCCAATACAACCACATCCTTCTTATTACGAGCCGCTAAACATACTAAATCACCACGACCAAATACTACAATAAAACAAATGCTCGAAAGAAAAAAGTTACATACAATTGAGGGCGCAATACACATCAGAGAAGTTTAATTATCACAGTCAGGCGGACATATTAACAATGTACGTGGATAGGATGTATTGAAATGATAAAAACACTAGTAACAATAATTATAAACCAACAAGCAACACGTTTATTGCATTTCTGTTAAATGTATTATTACAAAATAAATAAAAAAAATGGAATATTTCAAAGTTTAATAACTGTATCTATAATTGTTTCATTAAAGCGGGGGGTCGTCACCAGGACGGTAGATAGTCTACTCACGAACCTTTGGGTTTTTAGCGTGCATTATTATCACATATCGTTGCTTAGAATTCAATTCCCGCGCGTGCGCAGATGTCGACCCCTCCGCTTTGAAATTTCGAAAAAGAAAGCCTTTAACGTTACGCACTTAGAAAGAACAGATAGTTTATCTTACTGGATGCAAATATGCTAAATTAAAGTGAAATATTAGAATTGTGCGAGACGCAAATGAACACATTATCTATTCCAGATGTGTCCTCGTGTCCCATGTAGCAGTGCGTTTTGTTAATCGCCACAGTCGCCATGCAGCATTCAATTTGTTTTGTAAAGTAATTTAAACGAAGTATGTCGACCATGTTGAAGACGACGTAACGCGACGTATGTGCGGTCTATTGAAAAACAAATGGGCGATACGAGTTCCTACGTTCTATACACTGACAGTTTGATTTGATGACAGTTCAAACGAAACAGTCCTTGACAGATGCTGTAATTAATTTTCTTGATTGAAAACCGTCGTCAATATAATTAATAATTAATATTTACACCCATTTTATGGGTGATGTATTGCTCTAACTTAACAGCCCAATAATAAGAGCGCTTAATGTTACGCACCTCAAACGCATACACGCGCGCGTCTCTCTCATCTCTCTCGCACGCCCTAGTCGTATAGTATTTGTACTCTGAGATTAAACGTCTTGACGGGCCTCATATATTAACCGAAACACGATAGTCACGTGTAAAAAAAACTAAATCGCAATCAATTGACGCCACCGAATACCCATTTACGGAAATGGTAAAGTGGGTTGACACGGCACAATGTACTCTGGCAAAGTTCGGTAAAGAAATATAAAGGCATACATAACATGATAGTGCCCTGTCGTTACTCGCAATATTACAGACTTGGAAACACACTCGTATATGTACGAACAAGGTACAACCTAATCTAAATGAGTGCTGCATCAATTTAATTGTTTGGAATATGTTGACAACTCAGAATTTCAAAAAGTTAATTGATTTATAGAGCGAAGATGGAAGACTAATGTAACATCAAACACACGGAATTATTAATGTAATTATTACTGAAAAAATAGTAGTATCGTCTCTCAACAAAATTGAAGAGTTAAACTAATCAAACCAAAACACAGAAGTGTTAAAGATTAACGCAAAATTACTATATGTCTTCCTATTACGAACAACATTCGAACTCAAACGTCAGTAAATGGTCAAACATCTAAGAATATAATTCTATTGTAAATTCACAGCCTCTCGAGTTTAGGCTTTGGGTGAACATTTTTTATTTCCGTCCGCAGTACTTGTTTCTACTTCAATACACTTAAATACACTCCCGTAACACTGATATAAAAACTAATTAAGTCGATCTCGTTTCATTGGAAGACAGTGTAGTTTTCCATTCACTACAAAAATATTAATTTTTTTTACTATATTTTTTCATATATCATCGTTTTTTCACTCCTTCGCTTCGTTGTAATACTGTCTATTAAGTTCATTCGAATGATGTCAACGATTTGACAATAATGTTACTTCCAGATTCACCAAAGTGCATATTGGCTCGTTTTAAAAAGCTTGTTTGTCTCACATACAATTCATTGTTTATATTGAAAACCGATGTAATACTGCACGTATTCCCACGTTGCGCAATGTTCTATGCGCAGCTTTATTTATTATATTAGCGCCAGCTCTATGCCACCCGTCTGCACCATTTCGATCAGCTAACCCCCGTCACGGCTTACTCGACGAGTGGTTTCTATGTCAACCGACCCCGTTACCGCTCCATGCTTAACAAAAACAATCCCGCCACTTATTTCGGTGCAGCGATCAATATGTACAATGTGTTCGCCACGGTCCAGATGAAAAATAGCACCAGGCACAGGCGATCGATGACGTTGGCGGCGTACTTCCATTCAACGACTGACGCATTCTCCTCACCCTGGCCACGCAACTCCGAGCTGATGTATTTGACTTCTTCTAAGATTGCCGACGTCTCTCTTAACATCACTAGGTTCTCTGGTGTCGTCTGAAACGTTGTATTGCCAAAATCTTCCGGCAGCTCTTTACTGTAGGCCCGTTCGCGTCCCATTGCATGGTACTGGTCGTAGTTGTTGAAAGCATTGGCCAATTTTGTGCCGACCTTCACCATCTCATTCTTCTCCCCACGCTGTACCATGTTATCCGAATGCTTGTCCAATTTCCTCATGAACAAGACAGTAGGAAGAAATTTGAGGAAAATGAAACGGCACTGTGGAAAGCAAGAAAGAAGATCAAATATTGTTTTATCACATTACGTTAAAATGCCAAGTACCATAACCGGTCATGGTGTTTTGTTTCGTGTTGGGTGCCGTTTGTGTTCTTATTCATATGTCAAATTTTATAAGATTTAACCATATTATATGTTATAATGAATATCAGATATGATTATTTATAAATAATCAGTTTTCAAACCATCTTCTAAGATGTGTTTATTCGGCTCACCACTACACCTTAGCAGATTCTATATAGCCAACGCGTATTTAAGAGCGCCCTCTTTGGCAATAGTAGAGATACATTCTTCAGTGCACTGCCCAATCAAATTGTACGTTATAGTCGTATCACGGACAATATGGATCGGTTATTTGTGAGCTAAAATACTACTAATTAGATCCATTCGATCTATTAATCTGTTTTTCTATTTTCACTATACTACACTGAAGAAACACAGCCGTGAAACACGGCAAATGTGAAATGAATGGTAATATTCGCGTACACGCAGTCTGATTAAAAGCCGACTAGCTATTGTACAATTTTTATATTTTTTTTAATTTACAGCAAGTTAAACCAAAACATATTCATAAAATAAACAAAAATAACAATAAAAAATATAAATTTAAATATAAAATATATAAATTACAAATAAAAAAATTAAAAAACAAAACAAAAAAACAATTGAAGCCTATACCTACATCGAATTTGAATCAGATTGGCGTGCACGATGCAACTTGCTATACTCTCAGTAATATGAACATACATGTTTAACTTGACACGTTTGAAAACATCGCATGGGTTCCTTGGGGCGCATGCTTACATTGATATATTAAATCATTTAAGAGGTTAACTGTTATTTTATTTGTAAATAATTTAAGTAATATATGACATAAATGAAAACACAAACGGCACTCTATAGTTTTGTGGTGTGTCGAATCTGCATTATTTCGCAGAACAAAAACAACTTCCGGATCTAACGATGCACATAATCGCATGCACTCAGATTTGTTAGTACGTACAAGTTATTCAACGCGCATGTGCGCTTCAGCAGTAGTGACACCACTCCCTTATCACGTTGCCTCTTTAATGTTCATGGTTCAGTGATAAATAAAATGAAAAGACAAAGTTCATGGAAGCGTGACTGATCAATTACTTACCACCCTGCCCATGTCGTAGAAATCCGGGTGACGGTGATGCAAATTCAAAACAAAAATGGTGAACACGACTGACAAGCCCGTCATGATGATAGTAGCTGCATAGTAAGTACCTAGAGTCGGAAGACGGAAAAAAAAGTCACAAATTGGTAAACATCCCAGGTAATCGGAAGGACAGAGGTTCCATGTTCTCACTAGAAAAACAGTTACGCCTGTGCGAGTTGCGACCGGTAATCACACCAGATTATGTTTACAAGGAGCGTGATTATGGCGGCTATTGGATAAAGCCATGGCGCTGACTCGCCGATAGGCAATGTTTCGGCTGACTATGAACAATGTCATATATATACGAGCGTACATATAAATCGAGTTCAACAAAATACATGTATCAATATAACAACTTAAACTGCTCGAAAATTTTAAACATATTGCGAGTACCTTGTTGCTTACCTGCCTACTACGCCGGTCATGCTGTTCTTTTAAAGAGGACTAACTCTGCCTTATTTAAGCCATATTTAACTTCGGTATATTAAAGGTACACAAAAACAGATATGGACACGGTATAGCTTTACTTACCTATTATCGGCACCACGCTGGCTGGCGGCATTTTTTCAGATATAATGAGAAGAAACACCGTCTCGGCGAGCAATAGTGTTATACCTAGCGAAGAAAATAACATTGTTAACACGTGACCGTTGGCGCGATGCGCCGTG